TGATAGCCCACTCCCCCTCCACACCGCTCCACACTCGTTGGTTTGGAACAGCCCTTAATATGGCGGACCCTCCGCGTGAACGCGCAAACGGAGGGGTAGGGTGTAGGGGGCGGTTTGGGAATGGGCCTAAATGCGCTATCGCCACACGCACACAGAGCCGAGCTTGAATGACACAAGCACACGTTTATTTCCATGCAACTCTCTGATTGGTCTGGTGTCTTGCCTCTGTTGCATTCACTGAACACGGGAAATTGCATTCCTGTCGTCCTCTCTTGTGTCATGATGAGGTTCACGTAAAGCACGGTTAATGTATTATATTACTGAGGTGTCTCAAATATACGTCAATCAAGTGGCACCTGCTAACGGGTTTTGGATGATAGGTTTACATCTAAAAACGTATTTTTCAAACATTATTATTGTAATTTTATTTTTATTTTGTTACTTTTTTTTTTAACGGTCCGCGATCTACCCGCACCACACTCGCGATTGACCAGTCGATCGCGATCGACTGGTTGGCGACCACTGCGACAAAAACCCTTTCTACTGATCATAATTCCATTGTTGAATAGATTTGTATTGTGCAATTTTCCAAACTCACATTGGTTTCTCATACGGCATCTCTGTATAGTATGTGTATTCAATTCACCGGTATTCACTCTCTGTCCTAAACGGCTTGTTTTGACTCTGCAGACCGTTTACATGCATAAAAACCTTCATAACACACAAGGGGACGGTAATTTAAAAAAAATCATGATTTACTTACTAAAGATGCTTAAATATTGATTTGAACTTGCCATATGACTCATTGTATAAGCAAATGTAATGTATTTTCCATGGAAACTGGTTATGAAGTTGAAGGTTCAATCATGTGGACAATGCATCCATTCAAAACACACTCATGTTTCTTGTTGTTGTTAACCACATCCAAAAATGGTTTAACTTGCGTGTCCTCACATGCGTATTTTCAGAGCGGTGCGCTGTGAGTGTCTGCTTGGAAGGCTCAGTTTGCTTGTCTGACACACACCACGCTCAATACAGGAAGGACAGTTAGACATCAAGAGCAACGTCCTCATTCGAAAACCTAATAGCCTGCTGTAGCTGTCACAACAGAAATCCCTCTGCCTTTAGAAAATGCTGGAGTGCTTTTTTTCCAAAAGGTAAGCCCAGATTTGATTTCAGTTCATTTATAGACTTTAGAGGATCACACAGTTAAGTCCAAGGCGCTATTTACTTCCTGATTATGAACACTTTGATAATAAATCTTGTCTGGCTATTATTAGAATAGATCAGTGCGATTGATCTCAGGCTAATCCTTATTATCATTTATGACTTTGTGGCTGTAATGGAGTATCCAACAAGGAAAACAAATCTATTTTCCTGGTTTGATAACAGAAAAATGCAACATTTATAACAGGTTTCCATATAGTAGTATACTGTATCTACATTTCTGATTTGAAGCAAGAGGGTTTTTTGTGTTATATTTACCTAATCCTAAATCAGTTGAATCTGAACAAGTATATGCTATACCAAATATTGCTTACCCACATAAACGCTTTGGCACAAATTTCATAAATGCATGTTTAACATTTTCAAAGTTACCTAAAAGCGTGACTTTAGCTAAGATATTTCTGCAGCTCGTCCCATGTGAACCCTCTCAGCATACAGTGATGACACAATTGTCCTTACATGTCCTTGTTATAACCTGTACATAGCTAGAGACATAGCTTAAAGTATTAAATGGGAACACCCACGACATGTTTTTAACCCTAATGACAGCTTTATGTCATTAGAGAATGATTTATGTAAGAGTTTACTTCTGTATGTTGTAATGTAGAACAGTTTTGTTGCTGTAGATTGTGTAAAGCTCGTCTCTGACTCAACACAAATTCACTTAACCTTAAAAAACACACTAACAAAAGTCATGTGACAGGAAAATGAGCATCAACACTTTTAAATTAAAGAGAATATATCGCAGAGGAACAATTTGAGTTATAAAGTGTTTCCTCCTGTTGTTTCATCGTTAAAAGATAATGTTGCCTTTTCATAAGTTACTGATAGGCTTCATTGAATTAATGATGTTAATAAATGAAGACAGGGAACCATGTAGAAAAATATGCCCTATTATGCTTATTAGGTTGGAGCCAAAAGGCTGACAAAGAAACAAGAAAGACATTTAAGAATAGGAGGTGTGGAGAATTGTATCCCCATCCTGCTCTGGATGATGAGCCGAATATGTGGCGGAAAGTAAACTGAGACTCAGGGTAGGGGGAGACGAAGACCTCTTTCGTTCTCATGTTGATGTTTAAAGAAGACATTTTTATAAGGGTTTATTCATCTCCATTTGGGGAGTGGTGAGAGACAGTGGTGACAACAGAAACAAGGAGAGAGAGTGAGAGAAGCTGAGAGGGAAAGGAAGGAGGAAACAGAATGATCATCTGGTTCTAATCTTCAGTTAGCTTATAAAAACACACTAACAGGGAGATGTTGTGTGTGTGTGTGTGTGTGTGTGTGTGTGTGTGTGTGTGTGTGTGTGTGTGTGTGTGTGTGTGTGTGTGTGTGTGTGTGTGTGTGTGTGTGCATCTATGCATCTCATGTGGGAAAAAGTCTCTGCTGCTAAAAAAAAAGAAAAAAAAAAGTAAAACATTTCACTGCGGATATGGTGCAAAAAGGATCTGACATTTTTACCCAGGAGTGTAGTTTGGCCTTACAGTAGCTTGGTCTATGTTTTGGATAAAGAGCTTTTTGAACATTAAAACCTGGAAACGTGTCACAGTAGGGGCACAAAGTCAAATATGAACCTGAAAATGAGCATAATATGTCCTCTTTAAAAAAACTAATTTGTGAAGGGTTTGTTTCTTTATAATTTCTACTAATATCATAGCATGATGACTTTATTATAGTATGATTTCATCTTGTTCCGATCTAACGCTAAATGCTGATAGAGGTGTCAGGGTCTCACATTCAGCCTGTGGCAAATGGGATTTTGACGACTCTTATTTTGCTTATGATTGCTGTATATGTTGTATGAATATTTCTACAAAATGTGGTAAAAACGTGTTCAGTATAATAACCTACTGTACACATATATGTGCAATGTGTTTACATACATTTTACAATGAAGAGTTATTGTTTTCTTCAGTTCTCCAGTTACACATAAATCATAGCTACATTAATGGTCAAGGAAGAGGACATGTTGGCAAAGTGCTTTCTCACTCCAACCCACTAACGGATGGTGAAGTGCTTTTGGTTTGCATATAAGAGTCATTAAAAATATAAATTTTCACTTTTGTCCTTGCAGTGAAAAAACTCCATGGACAAGAGCTAAACGGTGGTGGTGTATTTTGACAATGATCCTGATGTTGGGAACGTTTATGTCAACTTTCTACATTTCGAACCCCCAAGTGTCATGGCCTTTAAAGTTTTGGACAAGGTTAAGGTCAAGCCAATCTTACGACAATGACAGCGTGAGTATATTTAGTCAACTGTCAAAATGATTGAGGCAAAGAAAAACTCATACACAACACATTTTTTCCCAGGGAAAAAATATATATTTCTAAAAAGTTAATTATGGGCTGCTATTTTGTGTCAATACAAGAGATTTTGTGTCAATGCAAGAGATCTTCATTATTATTTTTAATGGTGTGTTCAAACAGAATGCAAAACTATCTTTTGAGCCGGCATTTGCAAAGAAAAGGGTCCAAGAGTAGATTTTTTAAATTGAATTTTGCCTCTTGTCTTAACAAATCTTTATACTGCTTTAGTTGTCTTTTAATATGAATGCAGAAAAAAGAAAGAAATAGTATGATAAATCATGTTCTATTGAGTTGCATCATAAAAAAACAAAAAACAACCTTCTCTGCTTACAGACTTCACCACCAGAGGGTCCTTCAGCGTACTTTGTGCCTTACCCACACAGGTATCGATTCATATTGGACGAACCCCATAGATGTTTGCAGGAAAGCCCATTCTTAGTCCTTGTGATTCCAGTCGCACCCCACAACAGAGAGGCCCGTGACACAATCCGTAACACATGGGGGAGAGAAACCACAGTGCTGGGTCAGGTCGTGAGCCACTACTTCCTGCTGGGACTGTCCAAAGAGGAATACGGGACTGCAACCCCCAAGGAGCAAGTGAGCTGACTCATTACAAGTTCCTGATTTTCCTTTTCCTATCCCTTTCAACCACAGAAGACTGTACCTTATATGAACAGAGGGAAAGAGCATTACAGGTGTTTATTGGTATGAAATCAAACTGCATTTATATTATTGATCTCGAAACAAATTGTCTAATGGGAGGTCTGACAACATATAAAATGGACCTTTATTAATCCTCGTGGGGAAATTCAGTAGTTTAACAGCAACAGGGTACGATTGAAAAACAGGAGAGCACAGACTCACACAGATTAATACAATTAAGGATACAATCAAAGATAACAATTTAAAATGATAAATAACTATAAAATAAGAAATGAGTTAAAATGAACATATATAAATGTTTGGTCATGTGTACATATTATTTACATGTGTGTGTGAAAACAGTGAAAACAGTACATTTTATGTCCAGTAATTGTGTCATATAAGCCTTTATCAAGCGAGGACTTTCTCTTAATTTCACTGGTCATTACTTACATTACTACAATCCAACTTGAGACTTCTAGGACCTAATTTTATATCGGCAATTATATTCAGATATCTGTAGAGATTAGTGCACAAAGACCAGAATACCACAGCTGAAAAGAGAGGGAATATTGACTTACCTTCAATCAATCAATCAATCAATCAATCAATCAATCAATCAATGTTTATTTATATAGCCCAATATCACAAATGTTACATTTGTCTCAGTGGTCTTCACAGTGTGTACAGAATATCAGTATGACTATACGACACCCTCTGTCCTTTGACCCTCACATCGTACAAGGAAAAACTTCCAGAGAAAACCCCACAGTTTAAAGGGGAAAACGGGAGAAACCTCAGGGAGAGCAACAGAGGAGGGATCCCTCTCCCAGGACGGACAGACGTGCAATAGATGCCGTGTGTAAATCGAAAAGATAATACATTTACAACATAGGTAGTCCAAATACAGTTGCAAGAATGTGAACCCTTTGGAATTACCTGGATTTCTGCATAAGTTGGTCATAAAATGGAGGAAGCCACTGCTGTCCAGAAAAAACATTGCTGCACGTTTGAAGTTTGCAAAAGAGCACCTGGATGTTCCACAGCACTACTGGCAAAATATTCTGTGGACAGATGAAACCAAAGTTGAGTTGTTTGGAAGGAACACACAACGCTATGTGTGGAGAAAAAAAGGCACAGCACACCAACATCAAAACCTCATCCCAACTGTGAAGTATGGTGGAGGGAGCATCATGGTTTGGGGCTGCTTTGCTGCCTCAGGGCCTGGACAGATTGCCATCATCGACGGAAAAATNGTTCTGTAAAAAGATTAAATTAAACAACAAACTGCAGAAAACATAGACAATCTAAAAGAAAAGTCAACCTTAAGATTATTATCCATAATGCATTAATTATTTGTCTATGTTTTCTGCAGTTTGTTGTTTAATTTAATCTTTTTACAGAACTCTTAGGTACAGTATAATCATCATAAGTGTTGCTGTTATGATTATGCTGCTTTATTTATTGTACATCTTATATCTTTAACTATTAACAAGAATTCCTTCGGGATAAATTCAGTCTTATCTTGTATACAACATAATTAATAATTTGATCTTAAAAAGCTGAGTAAAGCACATATGCAATATAAGTGTAAAGTAGCATCCATTCCCTGTGCTCTCCAGGACAGACATGCACTTCTACCTCCAACTCATAATATAGCTCTTGGTTGGTTTCAACAGTAAAGACGAGGGTTGGCGAGTGTTTGGTTAACACAATAGGTTTATCAGAAGAGTAACAAAGGGGAAGCCCTTCACACAAGATATGTGTAACTAGTTTGTACGGTTGAGTACCCATTGGTCTATGTTTGTTCTCTAAAACAGTATTGGTTGCATTTCAATTCAGAAAGCTTAATAAGTAGTTTAAAATGTAGCCATGTATCGGCTCATATTTAATTATATGGGTTTCCATATCAGCGTGCATCATATCAAATGAACGGCCAGATGCAATACTACTTAAGTTGTCAATTTGGTAGCCAAACTATCACTAGCTAACACAAATGATAAAATCAAGTTGTCGTGATCAACCCCCTAATTCGTACTTAATCCGCAAGCCAAAACCTGTGCGGCCTACATATTTCCATTGTCTCCGCAGTTTGCATGCATTACTTCTAAAACGACTTGGAATATGTGGAGGCATCAAAACAACAACGCATTGTTGTTAAACATTGAACTGTTGGTGGCTAGCCTTCAATAACAGCTACAAAATAGCCTTCATAGCAGCTAGTTAGCTGGCTATGGTCGAGGGGCGACTGGTTAACGAGAGCATTGTGTTAGCTGCTAATGTGATCGCAATTTAGCCAGCTAACTAGCTTCATAGCAAAAGCAACTCGCGAGTACATAGTAAAGACACCGAAAACAGCCACATACTCACATTAACACATTATTCGAAATGGGTAATATTGTGTTATTTATGAATCTTCGATCGACGTGAAAAATCTCCTTGTGCGAGTATTAACAGGCCATCTTGTTGTGCCACACCAGCACTTCCAGCTAGCCAAGATTACATGCTCGCCTAAGATGGCTGCCGCTAGCTAGTTAGCAGCGTTAGCTTCCGCCCTCCATAACATATTGAATGGCCCAGAAGCGCTGTCGCAGTAAGTCAAAAACACACACAGCTTGTAAAACTCACGTATGACAGTATTTCGTTCGTATTAAATCCTCGTAAAATAGGCAGTAGCGACGAATAGCAACGTCGTAGGCTAATGGTAAGTAGGTTAGCACGCTAAGAGCCACACGGCACTTCCAACCAGTAGTTGGCTAGCTGAAACAAAGATGGCTAACCGTGAGGGCGATTAATGCTGCGCGAAAAGCCCGGGAAAGGATGCGTTCTACTTACACAGCAATCCAGGCAAGACACACGTCCCACGGCAGAAACAGCTCTAAAGAAGGGCAACCGAACAGAAAAAGACAAGACAACTAATTAAACTGCTGCTTGATCCGGCACTGTACATCTTGGCTTAGACCCTAAAGCCCTCCTTCTACTGCGGCAGCACCAACCCGCACACACGACTTTAATGGCGGCCTTGCTGGTGTTAGCAGCTATCCAGCCGAGACAATATTAGCGTGCTGGCTACATAGCCATGATGCAAAGCTAACAAGCCAGCTAATCCAGTTTGCTAGCAACGCTAAAGGCTGCTCTCCTGTTTAGTAGCAGCCTGTATATTGTAAAACATTGTAGCGGAAGCTCTGCTTTACCGCCCATCAGACCATGTTAAGTATGGTTTCGCATGCAAAGGCGAAGAAAGGCGCCTAGGCCGAGTCTATAAAGAACAAGTATCAGAAATAACCTAGATGAGACTCAAATCTGAAATAGATCCATACCGTTATATTAATATTTCCCTGTGCGTTTCCGCACATAACTAAATGCTTCAACCAAAGCCAGCCATGCCCTCTGTGTTTCCATTACAAAGTTCGTTACTATCATAACTGGAGACACAAAATAAACAACACAAACGTTGACTACCAAAGTTAATCATAACAAAGACAAAAACATTTCCCCCCGCCCCCCCGTTAAACAGAGCAACCCTCTACTTTAACGCTTCTACTGTTTATAACATTAAGTAGAGTTTAAACCATTAACAATCGCCAGGAGTCCGGATCAAAACGGTTTGAATTAATACAAATATACATGTTTAAAAAAGCTTGCACGCACACCCACCTTATGTCCTTTTACTTTTTAATTGCTGAAGAACGAGAGAAAAAAAAATGTGTCGTTTATATGCTTCAAACTCAGGGTTGAGAAAGGGCTTTGCAGGCTGCTATGTGTCTTCCTCTCTCTCTCTCTGCCTCTGTGTATTGCTGGCGCCACAGCTCATCTGGCGCCAACGTTGGACGACCGACGCACTTTAGCGTCGTTTCAATACAGCAAGCAGACCACTATCACCCCCTGCAGGCCTGGAGACAAACAGGGGCTTATGCAGAAACACTTCTGTAATTCAATTTACAAAAATACGTCTGAAATTGCCGAAAGTAAAGCATGGCAATGCAAGTCCATTTAAAAAAGCCTATACTATTGGATTGTAGTTATTGATGCATTAATTTATATTTTTAGTGTTTTAATGGCTGGTACAGAACTGTTACAGGGTGTGTATTTTTTTTAAATGTGTAACTTTTTTATTATAATTTTGTTTTTTAATTATCTTTAGTACTTTTTTGTATGCATGCTTAGGGAACATTAAGCTGTCTTTGGCTCTTTTTTGCTGTAACAATGTACATTTCCACTCTGTGGGACTAATAAAGACATTTTGATTCTGATTCTGATGATAATTGCCACATGACGATAATCATATGCACAGCCTATACATCTTTATTTTTTAAACAAATACATTTCTCACCATAAATACTTTTACTTATGCAGGCCTTCTTCAAATAATTGTGCTGTTAGTGTAAAACCTCTTTGATTTTACTCTGTTTTACCACTTCATTCAGTTGTGCAAAATTGCAAAGGGTTAAAAACTGCGGGATCAGGTTTTAGATGCTATATAGTTCTTAGTATACTAACGAGTAGAGGCAACATACAATAGAGGCACATATAAAATGTATGTAGTAATGAATAAGTCCCACAAGATGTTGCTGTTTTCACAGAGAAAGTGTTTGATTAAGGTCCAGATAGAATGGGCAGCAAATATTTTACATATCAAGGGCAAATCTAAAGATAGCCATAAGACAAATGTGATATTGAAACAAATATAACAAGGGTAAGTTAACACTTAACAGTGCAGTAGTTACATTCAAAAGGATAATGATTTAACAGCAGTTAATATAACTTAAAATAGAAATGAATGCCATGTTAAAATGGTGTTATTCATGCTATCCTTATCCTAAAATAATCAATAGAGATACAAACATAAACGTGTATTACATGTAATAAATAAGTAGGACTTTATTTTATTGAGGTAGTTTCAACTTTTCCTCTTCTTTGTTTGAGCCTATTTGTAGTAACACCCATTGCCTATAAATGCTCAACCAGGTATACTGGTTTTACAATGAGAGTGGACCACATAGTTAACATTCTGTCACACACATCGTCAGTCTCACAGTTTCACTGAAGCTGTTAACTTCAGTTCTTCATTTTCTCTAAGTATAGGCTACCTCCTCCTGCTTACTTTTTATCAAAGCTTTTCTTCAGCATTGGATCCAACACATTTGGGTAACATATTGCTGCTGAGCTGAAGCACCTGTGGATTTAAATTTTGGTCCCATAATTGCCAGAGATCCTATTTAAAAAATGTCTCTAGATTTAGACAGATATAGCTCGGACAAATCTCGTCGGTCTACCAGTCGTAACCAGTCGAGGACCCTGGCCAAGTCCGGGGAAGTGGCGTGTGACTTCTGCACAACTAGGAAGCAGAAGGCTGAGAAGTCCTGCCTGGTGTGCCTGGCGTCTTACTGCGAGATCCACGTCCAGACTCACTATGACTACCCTGCCCTGATGAAGCACAAGCTGGTCAAAGCTACGGGTCAGATGAGAGAGAAGATCTGTGCGCAGCATGACAAGTTGCTGGAGGCTTTTTGTCGCACTGATGAGACATCAGTGTGTGTTTTGTGCATGATGGATGAACACAAACACCACGACATCGTCCCGGCTGGAACTGAAAGGACTGAGAAACAAGTGAGTGGTGAAAACGACATGTCCATCTAAACTTTTTGGTTAAGATACTCAAGGCTGACAAAAACACCTTAATGTCATTCCCTTTATAGAAACAACTTGGTACCACGCTGCACAAATCTCAGACTAGGATTGACCAGAGAGTTAAAAAGTGGCAGGATCTCCGCCAAGCTGTTGAATCAGTTAAAGTAAGTAAAATGTACTTTAAACATAATAGGTCAAACATTAGGGTATTTTGTAAGGAAAATAACTTTGCTTTGCTTTTTTATCCATATTTTAACAAACTCTCTTCCTCTCTTTGTGATGTTTCTCCTCAGCACTCGGCTCAAACTGCCATGGAGGAGAACGATAGGATCTTCAAAGAGCTTCTGCTTTCCATCGAGAGGAAATACATTGAAGTCAAAGAGATGATCCGTTCCCATGAAAGGACAACTGTGACACGGGCCGAGTTACTTCTGGACCGCTTGGAAGAAGAGATCACTCTGCTGAGGAAGAAACACACTGACCTGGAGAAGCTCTCACACACCGATGATCACATACACTTTCTGCAGGTGAGGTTTATATGAACTGAGGAACTTGTATAGTGCAAACATCAGGAGTCTTAGTAGAAAACATGTAGAAGCTGTTAATGCTAATTTCTAGCTTTCATCTCTTTTACCAGAGCTGGCAGTCTCTGTCAGGCCCCTCCGGATATGAAGACCTCAACAACATCTGTGCCGCTCCCAATTACTCCTTTGATGCCACCAAGAGAGCCATCGCTGCACTGAAATTACAAGTAGAAGAAGTCAGCAAGACTGAAATGAGAAAAATCTCAGGAGCAGGTACACAAATGTGCGATGTTCATCTCAAATAGCATTGATGCCCCTCTCTAGTTCCTTTAAGGAATGTTTTTTCAGTCTGCTTCTACTCTCATAAAACCTATGCTGCCCTGTGTTTTTTATCTGCCTCTTTATAGTGAATGATGTATACATCACGCAGGAGGTTGAAACAAAGACAATGAGCGAAGTAATATCGAGAGAAGAATCAAGGTCAAGAGAAGAACCGAGGTCAAGAGATGAACCCAGGACAAGAGATGAACCCAGGACAAGAGAAGGACCCAGGACAAGAGAAGATTTCCTGAAATGTGAGTTAAAAAAATTATTTTACAGAGAAGGATGCCTTTAACCTTTCATGAAACCTTTAGCAAAAGCAACTTGGCAAGGCTACTTTGCGGTCATATCAAACCCCACTCATATTCAACCGAGTGAAGTGTATTCTGTACTAAGGTTCATAATAGGACAGTCATGTTGACATAGCTGACATCTCCCCTACAAAGGTATGACTACACCATCGGGTGAAACACATTTTCGGAGTGTTACAAAAGGCTGTAGAACTAGTTTGGTGAAATGTAAGACAGCAAACTCACAGTTCAGTATCACTTAAACAAACACAGGTGTTCCCACTGTAACTCCACCTTGGTAAAGCATATTAACAAACTGCTGCATTAAAATGATTCACCAAGGATTAAGTGGACTAACTTTGTTCCTAACCATTTATGTGGATGATTTATGTACGACCCAAAGAAGAAGGAAAAGGGAAGAAAATGTGCTCATCTGAAAAGAGACAAATAGCAAAATGTATAGCATTACATTGGAAAACAGATACTGATCAACAAAAAAGAGATGGTAAATTATGAAATTGTCCTGCTTTGTTTAGACTCTTGCCAGCTGAGTTTGGAGGTCAACAGTGTCCATCGCAACCTTCATCTCTCCGAGGGTAACCGATCAGCAACGATGAAGAGTGAGCCCAAGAATTACCCTGACCACCCAGACCGATTCGAGCAATGGCAACAGGTGAGAATATATTCAGCACGCCAAAAAGTTATTTAGTGCCTGAGAAGAGGGTTGTGAATTCTAAGGAGCCAAAATGATCACAATATCAAGAAGTCAAACACAAAAGCACAGTTCTGATATGTGAGTTTGGGCTATTTTTCTCCCACAACATGTCATATTTTAGACTACTGAACAGAAGACCTCCTAAACACACATTCAGTTGTTTATTTGACTACACTTTGTCAATCTGCATCTGTAAAATTATCCTATAAACTAACTAAATGCTAACATGCCTTATTGACACATTTAAACAAAAAATGTCAGTAGACTTAGAACACGAGCATCTTTTAAAGTTTGAAAGAGTTTTCTTTCTCTTTTTTGTGAAACTTTTTACATGTCTTTTGTTTGTATTGAATTAAAATCTCCATCCATATCAGGCTATTAGTCTTTGAAGTTATTCTTATTATAAAAGTATTTCATTTGTGTAGCTGCAGTACATATCTGGGCAAAGGTGAAGTAAACTCTCATATTAAAAGCTAACAATGCCTAAACGTTGTCTTTTAACCTCTCATTTGGTCCATGCAGGTGTTGTGCAGGGAGAGCCTGAATGGTCGCTGTTACTGGGAGGTGGACTGGAGGGGGACAGAGGTGGACATGGCTGTTAGCTACAGGGGAATCCGCCGTAAAGGAAACAGCAATGAGTGCAGCCTGGGCTGGAACGACAAGTCCTGGAGTCTGTACTGCTCTGACTCCAAATTCTCCTTTGTGCACAACAACAAGAGCACAGATCTTGCAGCTCCTATTGCATCCCGAATAGGCATCTACCTGGATTATTCTGCAGGAACACTCGCATTTTACAGCGTTTCTGATGGCATGCAGCTTCTGCACAGAATCCAGACGATATTCACTCAGCCCCTCTACCCTGCATTCAGTGTGTGGGGCTTCGGTAGTAGTATCAGAGTGTAGAAGAGTTGCCATAGTGCTAGTTATGTGCGACAAATGTACACAAAATTCCATATATCCTTTAAAAAAAAAAAATGCGGATCTTATTTTATTTTAACCTTTGCTTTAAGTTTTTGCTTCCTTTCTGAGCTAAAGTAGGAGTGGTTTAAATTATTCAAGTGTTCTGTTTTTTCTTTTTGAAATGATCCAATTACTATTTTTTATTTTAAATGAATCCTACCCTCTGTGTATTTTATTTTGATCACTGTTGTTTTCGGGCAATCTAATTATAAAACATATGCACTTATTGACTATGTTATTTCACAGTGTTCAACATCTTTTTCTCAATTATGTTATAACACGTTTTATATTTATATTAATGGTATACTGTGTTGTATCTCTGCATTCTAGTTATGCAAGATGTGAGTCTATACACCATCTTTGCTCTAATTATACACAAATACGTCCTTTAGATGTTGGGGAAAACCTGGAAACAACATTTCATATGCCACTTGTGATGATGTGACAAATGTAAAAACGATTTGATAATCAACAGAAATTAAATAAAAGTGATTGTATTTGTTATCAATAATCACCAGACTCAATGGATTATTGCCTTCCACCACCATCTGCTGGTCCTCATTAGTGCATACACATATTAACAAGTAATATATACATACCATGGTTGAAGCTCCAGGGGGCAGCAGAAACACGTTTCGTCTCTACAGGTGGGACCTGCATCTTTGAGTCTTTTGGCTGTCCAGTGAGAGAATAAAACGACCCATACGATCAACTAATAATTGAAGTAGTACATGTAGGATACAACAACAATGAATTCGTTTTCCATATGACTGTTATAATGAGGTGTTTTGCTTGTTTTTATATAGGACTACTTTAGATATGCAATACAGTGGTAGTTTTCTCATATAAGAAACATTTACTTAAAATAATTAGAAGTGCTCATGACCTCCACAGGTTATAACACTAATGGTGGTAACACAGTTATTAGGTTTATCTTGAAAAGCATAATCATACTGTAAAATATGCATTGGTCTACGCACATTTACTGCAGTAGGCTACTGTCCGTAAGTACAATTTGTACTTGTACTTTACCTGAGCATTTCCATTTAGGTATTGCTGCTTTTATTAAGTAGAACATCTGAGCACTTCTTACATCACTGAAAATAGGACAAACTATTGATTGAAACTGGTTATTTTGCCCTCGACCCGCCCACCTGTTGTGCCAACAAACTTAAATGCAGCGCACACTGCAGGTCTAAGGGGGCGGAGCCTAACAGCTGGATACTGTGGAGTGTCTCGTGGCGGAGATGCAACGAAACCGACTGAGAGCGAGCCTCCCCCTTTGATTCAAAGAGAAACACGGAAAACGGGATTCAGTTGTTCGGGAAAGAAAATACAGGATTCATATATAAAACAAGTTTAATTGCGTCCCGTCTGTGTGGAATATTTTTCGGCTTCCAGAGGTGTGTTCGGCGTACTCAAAGTTACCAAAAAGCTGCAAAAAACGTACTAGTGAACACTGAGACAGAAGGTGAGTAGTCAATGATTTTCTTTTGATGTTCGTCGTTGTTGCTAGCTAGACCCTTGAAGGTGAGCAGCTTTTAGCATGTGCCATGAGAAGGGATGCAGTTTACCACACATTAGATTTAACTACACATATTAGTGCAATATAGTAAAACCACATTTTAGGTAAATGGCAGGTAAAAGTCCTGCATTTACAGATTTTCTTCCAAGTAAAAGTACAACTAAATTGAGTACAAAATACACACATAAGGACTAATCTCAGAATCCTATATTTGCAATGCATTATTTTGTTGTAGTATATACTACTGGGCAGACTAATCAACTGTAGGATATCATCATTTATTGAAAATATTTTGTATTAGTAGAATATGTTCCTCTTAGTTGTAGGGAAGTAGAATCAAAATAACATAAATGCTGGTGTTCAAGTAAGGCCCATGTACCTGGAAAAGTGTACTAATTGAGTCAATGTTACACATCACCAATATATACAATGTATTAGAATGACAAGCATCATCGTTGTTAAATCAGACAGTCAAATACAGTTAAACTTCCGAAAAACAACTTTTAAAATCTTGAATAGGATAACCTAGGTTTAGTCCACAACAACATTGTATAGCTCCACCAATTAGAAGAAATCTCCAGAAACAGGTTAACAGATGTAAAGCCCTACTTTTTTGTCTTTATACATTAAATTGCTGTATGCTTTACATAAACATGCTAGGGAGACTTGCTCTGATTTCTCTAACTGGCAGAGCTTGATGAAGATTGCTTTCGATCATTAGGTAAAGGTACTGACTTTACTCATTTCTCCCCCTCTTCTCATTCCCCAGCATAAAGGACACACCTGTCCATCTACTATCCTCTATCTTTAAGAAAATGTTCGTGGCAATGTAGATGTCAGCCACACTCAGTTAAATGTTAGTACTACCTGAGCAGATATTGCTCGGCTGGCCGAAGAGGAAAAAGAAGAAAGTGGCTGCTCAAGGTGCTGGAAGATGTCTCTCTGGATGATACTGCCCGTTAGCCTCCCAGTTCTGACCATCACTGGGATATGGGTTGTGTAAGTAGGACATTTCCTTAAAATCTGTTTCTAAAACTCAAATCAAACACAACCAAGTACCTTTTCAAGTCGGCTGCAACTGAAAAAGTGTGTACAATGCTCATCTGCCTTGGTAGTGAGTGATGCTTAGTGCAAGTTTTTTTTACGTCAAGTATGATACATCGCTTAATTATATAACAGCTTTGTAATCCTTTCTGCCAAACCAATACAGTAACCGTTTTACCAAAAGTAAAAGAAACACTAGTTTCAATTCTGCATTGTAACCCACAAGATTTTGAAAGAGACACATTTGGCCAGTAGCACGGTTTTATTAAATTCAACCAGGCACAAAGATAACACCTTATCCCTGACAGATTTATAACACTTTTGCAGGGAGGAACAATACACAGTGTATTCATGTGCAATGGTGTAATAAAGCACATTTGGCCCGCTATCGCACTCTGTATACACCTTTTAATAGCTTAATAGAGCCATAAACCTGATTTAACACACACTTGTTCTGCCTGCATACACATTGGACAATTTGTTTTATACAAATATAGGACTTCTGCATATATCTTTCTTAATAAATATATCAGTGTACATAACAGAATATCATCACAATTAAAATGATATTTGAACAAATTATCTTTGACATAGACTACATGCAGTGATACCCAGGCCTTAATAGAACACATTGTAAATCTTGTTTATGTTGAGTCTAAAACCTTTTGATACCTCAGCCTGAGAGCAACACTGCATATTTACGCTGAATTCCTGGGAGTCATGGCGATTGCATGTTTAACGCTCTCCAGGAAGGATCTGGGATTATCACCGCTCTTTTAAAGAGAGACTTGCAGGTTTGCAGTATATCTGTCTGCAGTATGGTATCTGATAGTATGTAGCAGAGAGGAAGGAGTGATTACCTTGTTGCTATGTTTTGGGCTGACAGGTCTCTCCTCTCTGCTCTGTTGTTTCTATGGGAGAAGGAATGCTCACCCCAAAGGGGAGAGAGACAGATGGCCTAATTCCAGATTGTAGCAGTCTATGATGAGTTGCTTGGGGAGTTTTCAGTCTAATCAGATGCCAAAGCTGAGATCTTGCACACCAATTACTAGTGTTTGTGAACATGGCTGCTTCACAGTCTAATCAGGAGTGTGTGTTCAGGTGTGCAGGGCTTTGCACAAAAGACATGGTTGAGCTGCTAATGTTGCTTTAGACTATAGACTGTTTGCGTCACAGTCAGACAAATACAAAGTTGGAGTACATGCAGGTGAAAATCAGTGCTAGCTTTGCCCATTTAGTTCTTGTTTTGACAATTGTTTCTGAGGTAGTAAGATATCTGAGCTAAGATGCCAAATGCTGCCTAATGCTGCCTAGTGTCAGTCCCTTTTTTAAACCCGCTTCCTTCCCGTTACCTCGACAATGGCGCCTTGTTTCTAAGAGCAGTCAAGGGTCCTTTTCCAGACTGGAGGAATGTCAAAGGATGTGACATGTTATGTAACTCCCTCTTTCACTGTGGGCGAATGGGTGGGAGTAAGGTAAATATTGGAGGGCGGTCATAGTAAGCAGAACTTTCACTCAGCATCTGGAGGCCATGCCCAGTGTACGAAATGTCTGTGTGCAGGCAGAAGAAGATTTCTGCCCTCCCAGGACCTTTGATTCTTCTCCTGAGTTAGGAGTTAAGCAGTTTTGCTTTAGTTTAATAGTACTGTACATTTTAGGAGCTACAGCAAACAGCCAGAGAAGCGACTGGAGCTTAGTCCATACTACTAAAATGAATTCACAGTTTGTGCATCACACCCTTTCCTGTGGTTTCTGATATGTTGTTTTTTTGCTCAGTTTTATGGGAATTCTAACTGTCAACATCAGATCCTTCTGTAAAAGTCCTTATCCTAAATAAAACAACATGGCTTTTTCCACCTATATTTTGCTCAAAGGCATGCAATTAGAGTTTACTACCACTGCTGAGCTTCGATAGAGGTCTAATTATGTAAACAAACCTATTATTACTCAGACTCCCCCGAGCGCAGAAGGCACCAGTTTAGTTTAACATAGTGCTAAAAAAGACCGCTCTATTTAGAAATGTCCCAGAAAGGCCCTGCTGCTGTTTTATATTTGGAAGCTGACCAAACACAACAAGTTTCCTTGGAAGTTGTGGAAAATGTGATCACTTCAGCTGGCTGCAGTTACTTTTCCTACATCTTTCCCCCTTGGTAAGTATAGTAGTATCATTGTATTGGAGCACTGGAACCTTCTACCTGATGGCGGTGGGCTTCCTCGCTGCATTATGCAAGAGTAGCATCTGGCTTGTATACCTTTCACATGCCACTCGTGCCTCCCTCTTCCCTTAGTCAGTACCCAAACAAATAATGTCATCTTCATTCAATTATGCCTTTTACTTGCTCACACTTGAGTCTGAAACTGAAAATTAGGAAGCCACAAATAAACACTCCAACATGTTGATTTTCTCCCAGTAATTATTTATCTTAGGTTGGACTTGATATCTATTGGTTTTAAGTCTCGTTAATGGATTTTTTAGTAATAATTATAGTTTAACTTGACCTTTTTATGTGTAGGATTTTATGATAGATCCTCTATAGTGTAGTGTAATACAGTGCAGAGCGGATGACTGTGAAATAACGCCAAATTGAATACTTAACACAAGCTTTCACGTGTAAAAGAAAATGCATTAATTTCTAAAGTACCGAAATAACAGATCTATTACACTGAACAAAAATATAAACGCAACACTTTTGTTTTTGCTCCCATTTTTCATGAGATGAACTCAAAGATCTAAAACAGTTTCTATATACACAAAATAACCATTTCTCTCAAAATAACCCATCTCCCTCGCATAGAGTTGATCAGGTTGTTGATTGTGGCCGGTGGAATGTTGGTCCACTCCTCTTCAATGGCTGTGCTAAGTTGCTGGATATTGGCAGGAACTGGAACACGCTGTCGTATACGCCGATCCAGAGCATCCCAAACATGCTAAATGGGTGACATGTTAGGGTTAGGGTTAGGGTTAGGGTTTAACCCTAGGGTTTTCGGATCCCCCCAGACCCCCCCCCAATAAAGCAAAACTGCACGTTTC